TATATAAAGATGTCCTAACAAAAGGAAAGCATGCAAAACTACCTTAAATGGATAAACAAATTCCCTGTTTGCAATGTGCCCTATCAAGCTCAGCCCTCAGAAATCCCCTCCAACCCTCAGTCAACAGGGTCAACATATCACAGCTGGGTTTCACATTTTTGTACAAACCCGCCTCAGCATCCTTTGTTCACCAACCCTTTAAAATTAGGAAAATGCAAGCAGGTGTGCCTTTAAGGCCCATTTTGCTGCTAGTTGCTTTAGCTTCCCTCTCCCAGGCAGTAAGTTGTTTAAGAGGGTTTTTTGTTGTGGGGTTTTTTTGATTTTTGTTTTTGTTTAGTTTTTTTTTACCTTTTTACTTTTTTTTTCCTTCTAGCTCCTTCCTCATCTGCAAAGGCTGCGCTGCAGGTCCTCCACAGCCCTTTTGGGACACACCTTGTGAAAGGACAGCAGTTCTGTGGAACAGGTACAACAAGCAGTACCTCCTCCTCCTCAGGAGGTGTTATTTCTCCTTGGCTCTCTGGAATTTGCTGCTGTTTGTCACACTGCTGCCTCTCACTAATGCAACAGCACACTTTGAGCTGGCTGCCCCTCCCCTCCCAAAGCTATTCTGAACCCGCTCCCCCCATGACAGCAGCAACTGCCTCTATCCACTTAGGGCTCTGTCTTGCATATACTAAAGGGAAAAACACAAACACACAAAGCCCAAACCAACCCACAGCTGCACTAAAAGAGCTGGGAGTGCCCAAAGTGATAACTCAGCTCTCTCACCTAAAGCCAGGCCAATGGCGTGTGGTACCCAGGTGGGGTCAGGTTTTCAGGGGTTTCCCTTCAAACCCAGAGCTCTGAGATCTGAAACAACATCAACAAGTAAAGCATTGCCACCTCCACCTGAATGGAGGCCAACACAAGCAGAGTCTGAATTGTCTCAGAAAAGTCCAAGAGGACAAGCATAGCCAGGGCTACCTGCACAGCAAAGACTGACATTTGAAAGTGACTCTGAGTCTCCTTCCAGGACATCTGTAAGTTACAGAGAGACAATCACCCTCCATCCTCTTTGTCTTTAAGAAAGTTTAATATTAATTTAGCTCCTTTTGAATCTATTTCCAAGCTAGAGGCCAGTCCATCTGCAGTATTTTTACAAGTGCCGAACTGGATTAAAAGCACACGGAACACCCACTCTGGACTCGCTCACTTCTTCCAAACCATGGTAATTCAGGACAGAAGGGACACAGGATTTACTGTGAAGCTGCAACCTGCACACAGACATGCCAGTGAAGTAACTCACTGTACACAGAGAAACTGGACAAAGCACTTCCTTTTCTTTTGTGCTGTCCCCTCATTTATAAGAACGTCCTCTAAGACATCTGCTGGAATCCTGTAACATGAACGGAAATGGAAGAGCTCCAATGGGAACTCAGGGGTTTCTTTCTTTTTCCCATGAACTGAACATTATGGAATTTTAACAGATGTTCTACTTGGTCATAGTTAATAAAATGAATTATACAGGAATTAAAAATCTGGCTCCATTTGCTTATATAAGATCTCAGCAGCAGAACTCCATTCCCATTTAGGAATTCTAAAGGATTTGCAGTGGATTTATAGTCTGCTTCTGCCTTCTTATGAGATAGCTGGAAGTTTTACCAGTTAACTTTTCTCTGTTGTGGAAAACATGAATAAATTTACCTGTTCATTGACTGATCTTAGTAGCATGATCCAGTTTCCACAGTGGTGCATACAGGTACACTCCTGTCATAGGAAGGGGCAGTTCTCACTTGGATTTGCTTTGGAAATGACATCATGGGAATTCCACATCATTTCACAGCCTCTGATTTCTGCCATTTATTCAAAGTCTCATTGAGCAACCTAATAACCATACTCCCACTTTGTGCTTTATTACAAAAGCCTTCCTCTTGGAGCACAGATGTCTCTTTCAGGCTTCTACTGCCAACAGACTGATGCACTGTACCTCACCTTCCTTTCCATTTTAGGATTAGTTCAGTGTAGCCACATCAAAGGAAGATGTAAAGACCAAAATGTAATGGAGATGTGAGAGAAGAGGAACCACAAAGGTGAAAAAAGTCACAGCCTAAACTTACAAGCCTGGAGGTTCACTCAACGTTATTTCCAAATGCATTATGTATTTAGCCATCTTCTAATATCCATCTGCTCAGAAAGCATTCTGAGATGATAAAGGGGATAAGTCAGAGTGAGAAGAAAAACTGAAGGATATAACAACTACCTTGCACCAGCACAGCAGCTAAAGCCAATTACATGGAGTAGAAAAAGGCTATCCTGAAGAGATCTGCTATGCTAAAGCAAGATGAGGCCTCCACACCACACTCCATTCATAAACAGATTTATTTTCATTGAAATTCAATCAACTGGCAAGCAGATCTCTGTCCAGAAATCTGCTTGATATAATACACAAAATTTTATCCCACTGCAACAGCTAAAATTAACCTTTCTTAAACTCTAGCTCAAGAAACTTGCCAGCTCAACAACATAGTCATCTGAAAAGCATCAATATTCCCAGCCTCTTCCAATTTTTTTTAAATGAAAAATCATGTATTGAAGACCCTCTATCCAAAAATTCCCACCCCATTATAACTAAACAAAGGGCTTTGTGTAGGTAGAAAACCAAAGCATGTAAACAAACCTTGTAAGTATAAAAGTCAGCTGGAATCAAGTACCAGCTGATATATGCTATGTAGCTACCAGGATGTGTCAAATAATGAATTAATACAGATTTTTATCTGAAAATAAAGACCCTAAAGGAAGAAATCTACTCAAAGGGAAGGAAAAATACCAAGTTTAAATGCCAGGCTTACAACAGCTCCAGCTGAAGGTGCAAAAAGCTGTTTTTACTTGAGTGGACATTGCTTTACAAAATTTAGTGTCAGAAAAATGCATTAGTCTTAACAGTGTTAAATTCAAAGATTCTTTTTTTTTCTTTTTAAACATCACCTACGATTTCTTTCATTTTGAAGAGAAAGCCCATTTCATTTGGTAATCATTTATTTCTCATTCCGTTGGACAGATTCTTCCAAGAAGCAATACTTCAACTGAAATAGGTTCTGAAGGATCTTTTATGAATATACATAATGGAGAGGACTCCCATTAAATTTCCAACAAAGTGTTGCCATTTTGAGTAAACAAAGTTATCTCAGCAGGGTCATACACTGTGCCATGAATATGGTCTGCAAATTAATTACCACCCAGACATATGTCAAAACAGATTTTAAGGAGAATAGCACACAGTAGCAACCATGTGCTTTATCTACCTGTTAGTATGCAAAATCTGTACTCAATGGGATCCAAATTTATTCATTTATTCAGAACTCCTCTGAGAAATCAAAATGATTCGTATTCATTCGCCTTTTGCGCCCGTCTGCAAATGAAATCTGAGTGAATAACATGTTTAGTGAGCCAGAAAATAAGTACAGGACAAAGGTATGGTGGGGGTTACATTTCAGAAAAGCAGGTGTCATCTTTGCACAAATAACTAATTTTTTAAACACTCAAAACTGCTAAAATAAAATACAGTGCATTAGCATTTGTCTGCACTTTAAGGAACACTAAGTTTGGTGTTTCTTATTTAAGGTAATATCCATCTTTATTCTGCACTTGTAACAAGAGCTGGCCAACATAACTGTCCTGAAAACAGTTTTCAGCATGAAGAACGGCTTTAAAAAGCAGAGCTATTGAATGAAGATTAAAAATCCTCTGCAACTGCCTTTATTATCAATGGCAACACAGACAACAGGTATGAGCCCGTGTTTAGAACAAAAGGGGCAAGATCCAAACTTACTTTATTCACTTGAGTTACATAAGGAGAAGACAAACCCACCCACACCACATCAAAAATGTCACATGGAGAGCCCTCCCTGGACACCAGTGGCTGTGTCCAGACAGGTACCAGGAAAGAATTCCTCCCTGGGAGGGTAGGGAGGCCCTGGCAGATGCTGCCTGGAGAAGCTGGGGCTGCTCCATCCCTGGAAGTGTCCAGGGCCAGGTTGGACAGGACTTGGAGCAACCTGGAGTAGTGGAAGGTGGGGGAGTGGAACAAGATGGGTTTTAAGGTCCTTTCCAACCCAAACCTTTCTGTGATTTTATGTTTTCCTAGGAACTAAGCCTGATCTCTCTATTTGAGGTACACATACATCATGCAACTTCTGTTTTGTCAAAAGATGATCTCCTGGGATCTGATAATGAAACAATTTTAGCCTGGGAGTTCATCAGTAGGTTTTTCTACTTCTTTTATAATCTGCCCTCAGTTCACACAGCACATCAAGCACTTCCATGACACTAATCCTGGAATTCACAGTACATTTATGAAAAGATTTTAGCTTAGGAACTATTTTCTTCTGAGTGGGCCAAACATATTTTTAGCCCTATTTCTTTTCTAACAGTGAAATACTTCTGATTTAGAGTTAAGTAATGCCATATCAAATCTACAGACTGGGTGACTAAATGCATTTCTTTCACACATTAAAAAAAAAACCAAACTTATAAAAAAAGAGAGAGCACAATCCTCTCTATATACAGATGACAAATAATCCCTTGGCATCTGCTGACAAATATATTTAAAGAAAGCCTAAATCTATCTGTGCTAAACTTGGCCTGATGCCACCAGTTCACCATTGATGGCACACATAATTCACATGATGCAATCACAAGACTTGAGAAAGTTTCCAGTACTTTAGTTCATGGTTTTCTCATGTTAACATATACCTTTCCATCCTTTTTCAATTTAGCAGCAACAGAACTGGGAGACAGGATGGCAAATGAATTTTTGCATGTATCAAAGGTTTTCTTAGTGCTCATTATCAGTATTTTATTTAAATTACAGGTTGGTAAATTAGCTAGAATGAAATATGCTGGGATTTAGGGTTTAGGTTAGAGCAACTGATCTCAATTGTACTATTATCTCTTGTTTGAAAGCTAATTGAAAGGAGACAATTGAAAAAAAAAAATAAACGAGAAAAAGACAAGTATTTTACCTCTCTTAATACTGTGCTTTTATAACCTCGATAAAGTCCTTGAATACCCTGTAAACCAACAAAAGAAAGCATCATCCAGGGGGAATGAGTTTGTCAAAGACCACAATTTATTGGTGATTACGAGGCAAGCATTACAGCCCTAAAGTGTCACACCTCAGCTTCAAATTGACTGTATTGATTATAACACTGTATACTGTATTCCATTATTTACAGTGCCAGAGGGTCCTTAGCCTTTATCAAGACAAATGTTTTATATTTTTGAACAGCTGAAAATACTCAAAACAATTAAAACTTATTTTATAAGTGTGTATAAAATTATGTTGTTTATTATTATAGGGCACTTAATTCAAGTGTTTGGCAAGGCTTATGGTTCTCTGGCCAGCTATATGGAAAGGGAAAAACATATGGCATTGACAAAATCAGCTTTTAAAGCAGAATCAAGTCACAGAGAGAAGTTCCAGTGACCCTCTTGTGCAGGGTTATCACAATAGTTTCCATTTGAAAGCAAATAAAAATCAAGTGGATCATTTAAAGGTCATATTTATGTCTTCCTTTCCCTGGGGTTTACACTCAGAAACTGTGTTATAATATTTTTCCCCGTGCTGTTTTTAGGAGCTGCTTTCTCTTATGGAACACAGCTTGAAAATCCCCCCTTGTGAAACTCTGCTAAAACAGACGTGAACAGGTTTGCACAGGAGGGAACAGCATAACTCCTGAAAAGAAGACAAAGGCCCTTATTTTTCAAAAGTAACCAATACTGGATAAGCACTCATTTCCAGAGCTCCTCCTGGCTCCTCCAAAGCCTCTCTGAAATGTTGCCTTTTGGACATCCCCTCCAAAACCTGCTTCAAAAACTGGGAACTCAATGTCCTGCTCTCCAGACAAGGACTGTTTGCATAAATACAAGCAGAGCTTTGGAGTCTGGAAGCTAAATCCCCTTTTTTTTCCTCTCCTCATCTTTAAATGTAGGTAGTATCCCATGTAAAAAGAGGAGAAAAAAGAGTTGCTCCAGGATGATGCCCCGGGGGGAGGTGGTGGTTTGGTTTCCTCAATCATAACATGCCAATCACTTTTAAGAACAGAAGAATAGATGGAGAAGTGCTGGGAAAGCACAGAACTGCAATAAAATTGTAGGAATGCTTCTGGACATGTATGGCATCGAGTGGGAAAGAGGAAAATTTTTAGAAATTTTGCTGTGAACTCACCTCATGGTACAAGGTGTGGGAGAGAATCCGGAGAGTGCTCGAGGAAGGAGAAACCTGGGCCCTTTGCTTGACAACCTCGGATGGAACCCGTATGAGACAGGCAACCTGCAAAAGAACCAGAGGTTCAGGTAGCAACTGCTGGCCTCCTCTTCATGCAGCAAACATTTCTTCCAAGAACAGAAACCTGACAAATGAGGAAATCAGGTTTGTAATTATAGGACTTAAAAGCTGTTCATGAGCAGCTTATGTATTTGTTCTCAATGTCATGTACTTTCTGAGCTCAAAATTATACTAACAGGAGCATGGAAGCACCCTTGGAATTTTAAACTTTGAAAACAGAAGTAGATTTGAGAGGAGAAAAACACTGATAAAACCAAAATTTGCATCCATCCTTTTGGCAGTCACAGGAATTTTCCCCCCCCACTTTCACAGATTCAAAGTGGAGATTCAGGACTGCAAGACCAACGAACTTCTTTCTTTTGTAATTTCTTTGTGCCCTCTAGTGACCAAATAGCCATTCTGGTCAGCTTTAGACACAACATATTCCAAGGTTTATCTCAAAATACACACCACACTTCATTCAAGGTAAAGCACTGGATTGATCCTTTCCTGCAGAATGAATTTACTAAATTCTGCAGGTGGATAATTTGGCTGCTGCCACAAAGCTCCAGCTTTGTTGAAAAAGTCAGGCTTGGATTTTAAATATTCACCTGCCACTTTGGCTTCAGGTAAGGGTTAAAGCTTGTGTGCACATCATTTCATAGAATGAGGATCCTGAAGTGTGAGTGTTACAAGCCTCTCATCTCTCTAGAAAATATCTTTTCATCAGCATTTCAAATTTCAAGCAGAGTTTGTCTTCAGTTGGTTCCAGGGATACTTAAAGCAGTGATGGGACTGGTGGCAAAACTCTGCAGACCCCATGGGCCTTTGCCAGATTTTCAGCCTGCCTTGAGACCATCCTGTGCTGGGCTCAGAAGACATGAAGGTGATCACAGAGGACTTGAAGGGCAGAGCAGCCCAGGTGAAAGCTGTCCATCTGAAGTGGCAAACCAAGCAGCTAACTGGGAAATCCATGTGTGCCACAGACAGTGCAGGAATTCACTGGAGATTGCACAGACACAGTAACTTGAGTGGTCATTTGTGGGGAACACAGTAAAAGGTTTAAGTTTCATTTTCACAAAGACACCCAGAAAAAAAATCTGTTATCCTGTTACATTCCTACAAGTTTACTGGACAACAACATCCAAAAGTCATTACAAACAGATCTAACTCCATGTGCTCTTCAATTCTCAGGGTCAAAAATAACAAGTGACCCCAATCTGTCAAGAAAATAAGAACTGTCAAGTTTTTTTGATAGTTCAGCATAAATATTTATAGAACTTCATGCTTCATAACACTCCATGTCCTTATATTAGCTTTTTATTCCTTAAAAATATGGAGGCAGGAGGAAAGCTTTAAAAAGGCTGGGATGAAAACAATCTAGTCAATCAAGACCAGACAAAGAGCACAGCGTGGCTTCCTGACATCTGGGGTGCTGCAGTTTTGGCAGGAGAAGGGTGGCTACAAAGTAATGTCTCCATTTCCCCCGGACTACTTGGGGTGCATTTCATTTCAAATTAACTTTGATGTTTCTTCCATTTGAATTTGCGCTTACAAGGGAGTCTGTGGCTGCACAAGAACAAAAACAATGATTACATTGTGCTGTTCTGAAAGGAAATAAAGGCTCATGTCACCCGGGCAGTGCTGTCAGATTGGCTCCATAGGGCACTTCTGGTATTCAAAAAGCCACGAGTTGCAGCTGCCAACATCAGACTGCACGGTGACATTTTCACTGTGCACCTGAACTTACAACGTGTTACCTTGTTTGTTCCTACACATACACCTTCCTATCAATAATAACCCCAGCAGCCTTTTGATGTGGAGAACAGGTCTCTAAAGGGAAGTATGCAAGATTAAGTTCACATGTATCTTATTAAAAAAGTAACAGCCTGGACGGGAGGGTGCAGAAAAATCTCAACTCTATCACGCTCTGCTCCCAATCACTGCAGCGCCTTCCAGGTAAAAGAACACAAATCACATCTCCAGGCTTTGCTTTCTGGGACAAGAATGTTCAAGCAGCACCAGTATGGTAGCACTGTACCAAGAGAGTCCACACTTCCATTTTCAGAGGTGAAAGCTATAAGCAAATGGCACAGGAAGGGTGAAAGCTGCAGGTGTGCAGCTGTCCCACGGCACCTGCCCACGTTCACCTGCACCCTTGGGAGTATCAGACATGGAACACAGACAACAACGTGGCCCCACATGGGGGGCCCATTCAGCTCCCTGATCACCAAGGTCCCAGGAAGAAATTGCTTTTTAATCTCTTGGCTGTTCACACAGATGCAGCTTGCTGCTTGACACACAAGAGCACAATACAGCCCACCAAGCTCGGGCCATTCCTGGTGCATCCTACCGGATTTGGGGGTGACCTGGTGACAAATTAGCTCTGTGCTGAACATCTGCAGAGCCAGCCATGGAGAGGGTCCAGCAGTGAGCCCTCAGCCACCTCAGCTGACATTAAGCATCAGACAACAGCACCCTGGTGATAGGGGCCACGCTCATTTTCCCAAGCAAGCTCTGGAGCCACGGGCCATTCCCATCTTTTGATGAGAGCAAAAAGACAGAGTCAAGATCCTGGGAAAATTCAGGGGCTGCCCTATGAGCTCCTTCCTTATTTACCAGGTCAGGTAACACAATGTCTGTGGTCAGGTTTACATACCATAAGGGCAGGAAGACACTAATATGGAAACAAAAGGCTCAAGAATTTTCAAATTTAAGCTTTAGGAAAACCTGATTTTACAGCTACAAGCAAAGCTATTAATAGTTTACAGAGCAGGTACGCAGAAATGACAATGTTAGCACCTATTACCTTTCCAGCTTTTTAATGCTATGACCACTTCTGAGCAAGAGGGTACTGAATTTCAAAATCCTTGTCTCATACTGGGTCAAAGGGTGACTCCAGTATCTAGACAAAAACCTATGTGCATTTTTAATTTACTGACTTGCATAAGCCAGTCATGAACAAAAGCTAAAACCAGGTCTATTTCATTAACATTTATCTATGTATTGCTAAGACAGTGTATGTTCTAATTAAATTAAGGTAATTTCTTTCCTCTGAAAAGCGTTCTAACTTTCGGGTTCTCCTTGCACGAACCAACGCTGCCATCTCCTGGTCGGATTTATGTTGGAACCGGACTGTCCTGGCTGTTGTGAAGAATGACCAGTGCAAATAAAGTCTCAAAAGTGCCATGACATTTTGTATATGCACCAATTTAAACTATTTTTTTTTTTTTTCAGTAAAAATGTGGCTGTAGCAAACAGAATCAGATCTGCTGTAAATAGCACTAGGAACCTGCCCAAAGCCTTTCCTATGGGCTCACCTAAGTTTACTGGAAATACCTGATCTTAAAAGTGTAATTTCTGAATAGGGACCAATCCCACCTAAAGCTGGAGCAGCTTTTCAGAATCAGGCAGATTTATCTAATTCAGCACAGGGGTACCCAGCACTTCTCTTTATACACAATATACACAATAAAAAAAGGACAGAGGGGGCATAGTCCTGCTTACACTCAGTGCAAACAGAGGCAATGCCAACATATTTAGAAGAGAACACAACAAATCCTGGTCTTCAGTGCTGTATTATGATCCAAATATTAACATATCTTATTTGGATTAACAGCCTTTTCCTTCCACCCTTTGTGCTCCAGGCAAAGCATTTTCTCCCTGGCTGGATTTGTAGGGTTTGGTAGAGAATCAAAGATAACACATACATTTGTTTTTAGGCACCTCCACTAGAGGTTGACCACTAACCTTGTGAACTGTACATGAGGTGTATCCAGGATCATTAGGAAGGGGACAGAGCAGGTGTCATAATTGCAATTAAGGGCTTAGGCTGGGCATTTAAGCTGAGCTGGTGCACAGGTTTCCTCAGAACCAGGGACACAGCTGGTACAACACACTCAGCTTTGTAAAGACAGCAGCTTGAGAAAGCATTTATCTCCTCCTGCAGCAGCCTGCACAGCTGATGATCTGACTCACTCCTAAAAGCTCCCACAGCCACAGGGGCTGAGCACTTGTTATCTTTAATAAGAGACAGATATTCCCCCTGCTGTAAGACAGCTCCCTGAAGTAAGAGCCCAATTTCTGGCACCTGATGAGCTCCTGGCTAATGAGCTGAACTATTCTCTGCACTAACCTGGGCTTAGGTGAGCATCAAGACCAAATGTTTTTCCACTTATTAATTAGCCAGCCACTCTGCTCCACAGCAGGAGAAGGGTAGTCTGAGGGCAAAGGACTGACATGGAATTTGTGAGTGGCTGGTGATTTAGGAGCTTGCACCCAGTGACTCTGAGCAAATCTCTGGTTGCATAGATAAGCAAAATTTAGTACAGAATTAAGTACAGAAAATTTAGTACAGAAACATGGAGTAAGCTCCAGAAACCTTTTCTTTTGTTGCAGCTTTGAACCCTTTAGAGCTCTTTCTAAAGGACTCTAATACTTCAATTTCTCAAGCAGGAAGTTAGTTTTAAGAACTTTATCTGTCTGAGTAGGCTGGGAAGCTTTAATTGATGTTCACCATAAAAATATAGTTCAATATTTAACACAAAACTAAAGAACATGCCTGGGAACAGTTTCTCTTAAATGTCATTTGCATAAATTTATTCTTAAATAAGAATATAATTTATGACACTATAAAACTTAGTATCCAGAGAGCAGAGACTTTGGGCTAAACCTCACAATACCTGTTCAAGATAATCACAAACCCATTAGGGAGGAAAAGCTGCTGCACAAGAATGACAACAACAAAGATGCTATGATTTATCAAAGGACATATGTTTAGGCTGCAGTCAATCTGCTAACAAAATCCTAATCTCTCACCCCATTTTTGAAGGTCAGAAGGATTGCCTGCTGCAACAGAATGTAAAATAAGCAAGAAAAACTGAAAAACTCTAAATCCCGTTCAAAGAGAAGCAGCAACAAATTGGGGGTTTTGGGGTTTTTAAGTGTGGCTTGAATTAGCCCTGACCATACTGCTGCAGCCAAAAGCTACCTTGGAGCTCAAGATT